ACTGTGAATAACTGTGAATGCAGTTCTAGTTATAATTAAAAATAAAATGATGTCTTCTTTCGGTAAAATATCCTATCTTCAATATTTAATATACTTTCCCTCCGCGTGAGGTACCCGTGGGACGCCTTATATATATATCACAATTCAGGACACATTTAAAAAAAAGGAGACACACTTGCTTAGTTTCTTGTCGGATTTTTACAGAACAAGGTATTCCATCTTGGATTAGCGAACTAAATGAGTAGAATTTAAACGTCCAGAAGAGCTTGTATTTGTGATATAAGAAAATTACCAACCCTACTAACACACCAAATGATATTGATATTTTGCAAATCTGTTCCATGCATATGCGTGAACCTTATTGGAACTAACACAGGATAGTCTTTTCAACATTACTAATTTCATCTGTATATATATACGTTGCATTCTGTCATTGGAAGGTCACCCTGAGGCAAGTGAATGCAAGGAGAATCTTCATATATGGATCAATTACCTTTGTAGAGCGCGACATTCGCTACGCCAATCTTGTTTTGCATAGCAATACGTCTCTAATAAAAAGAACCTACCTTTGAGGTGTAAATCGCTTGCTCTAGATCCCGATTATCTATGAAGTTTTCACACACTGTCCGAAAATAGTTCAAGCGAATACCGTCTAAAATGGTTGCTTAGTCGATTGACGTGCTTGACCATTTTAAGGCTAGTACGACTATGAGTAGGTACGTTAAGTACTTATAATTACATTAAGTTATCACAGAATCAATATCATAATAATAATCATTTACTGTCTTTTTTACATGGTAACAGATGTTTAAACCATATTTCATTAAAACAAGACAATAGGATTGGCTCAGCCAATGTTGGTCAAGCCTGGACCTGAACTAACGCTGGTTTTTAACCACCCCTTAACAAATTTTACATAATTAATAATACAGAGAGCCTCGCATTATCCATTATTTGGTTATAATTAAAGTTTGAACATATTTCGTGCATAAACGTACTCCTACTTGCCATAGATATTACTCGCCCTACTCGCACCTTCTTAGTGTCACTGGTTAGGCCCTAGTCAAAACAAAAAAAGAGCGGCAAGTGGATATATTAATAATTGAGGAATAAGCTTAGACTAGTTACACCGCGTTTTGTTCATATCACTCAAATACCATAATAGGGATGATGACTATTTTTTTTTCTTCGTTTATCAGGTAGATTATCAAAAAGTATTGGACACGTAATTTTTCTTTTTTCACATAACATAAACATTGCAGAGATATATTGATTTGAAAAGTCGCATGACGTCACGTTTGAGTACAGTTTTAAGCGAAAATTCACTAAAAAGTGACGTCACGAGCCCCTACTCCCAAACTTTGACGCACTATAACTTTGTTATTTTTTGGTTGATTGCCCAAAGAAAAAATATGTGTCCATTATTTTTTGATCATCTAACTGACGGACTAAATGGAATTTCGTTTACTGTACCCTGTCACCACCCCTAAAATTTCTTTTTTAAATAAGGGGGATAGAGTAGATGTTTTAAAAGACTGTGCACATAGGTAAATGAATTGTTTTACATACAAATTGGGTTGATACCCTTTCAATTTCCTGAACAAAGGGAATGAAGACGCACGCACACGCACCGGGTTTAAAGAGAACGTTTGCGATAGAGACGTGCGTATTGTGTGTTACTGGGGACTACCGTAGGCTTTGATCGACCGTGTTGTTTGCATTTGAATAAAAAATGTTAACGACGACGACGACAAAAATACCTACACTTTCTTCAATATTACACAAACCAAGCGTGGATGAACCATCGATTTTATTTTGGACGTTGTGAAACAGTGAAATGAGGGTACACAGCAACAGTTTTATTATTGTTTAGAAAGATTTCTTAAAGCCAACTTGTAGAACTTCTGAGAAGCTTTATGCAGAAACCATAATAGGCTAGTTGACCCTTTTTGGAAAAAGGTTTTAAATGGTTAATTAATGTTCTATTAGACCGAAAAAAATGTATTGTATTTTTTTTAAACCTAGAAAGCTACAAATCTTTAATTTTAAAATAGACTTTTCATGGACATACAAAAACGCTGTCGGCCATTTTAGTCTATAGATTATCTATGCTATGACGTGAACTGTCGTAAACAAAAACTCGTAAACACGTAGAAAATTACTTTTAACTGAGTTTATAATAAACAAAAACATGATTTCTAATAAATACCACGAAAAATAAAGTAATTATCATTACTGTATTGTACGAGAATATAAAAACACATCCTTGAAGACTCCAGGAAAGTTGTCGATTAAAGTGCCGAAAGAAATTAACCTACGCAACTTTATTACACTTATTCATATGTTGTATCAGTTTTATGTTTATTACTACATTGTAATACTAAATGCACTGTACTTACATAGATGCCTTGTCGTTTCTCTGCTCCGCAGAGCAGAAATCGGGGTTTAGTGCAACAAATTCACCAACCATCAATGCGTCAATTCTTGGCAGATTTGTGCTTTCTGCTTTCACAAAGCCGGCATCCATAATTAGTTTTGTCAAAAAAAAACTAAGTTTACTGTTTTTTTCTTTCCTAAAGTTAAAAGTGTTTTATGATAAATTTAGTCAGACGAAAGAATCCACCTACAGTAACACGCGATCACGCGAATGACATTTAGTTGTTTACCAGAAGAGACGTCAAAATCATGGCGGATGTGGCGAACAGCGTTTTTAGTGTTTAAAAAATATAGACTAAAAAATATTTTTTAAAATTAAATTTCTACAGCAATCTTCTGCTTTTATGAAGTGAAATCGATATATTAAGGTTCCTTAGACTAAATACTTTAAGAAATAAACATTTATTTAATACAATTTGACATGAGTAAACTAGCCTATTTCTTTCCATCTAGATGCAAAAAATTCAAACTCGTTTAATCAGTCTAGGCCAGCGGTGCTCAAACTTGAACTGCTGGCGATCTACCTCAAAAATTTTTTTTTAGGGCCCGTATTACAGAATGACAACTAAGTGTTGATCTTTACTTGAGTACAGTTAGAAAGGGATGTCGCTATGTGCTATATGTAGTGACATCCCTTTCTAACTATGCTCAAGACTAGGTCTATCACTGGAAATCTTTCTATAATACGGGCATTCGACTACTTACGATCGACTCTGAGAGGCTGCATGTGTGATGCAGGGTTGTCGTACATACACGATACACCCCACCTACCTACCTAGGTAAGGTGTACCGTAGCATATATAGATATTCGTAGGTCGATTGCGATCGACCGTTTGAGCACCCCTGGTCTAGGCTTTTACAAGCTCTTGCCGCTAAACAATCAAACGCTATGAAATCGGTTCTTTAATCTACGACGGGAGACCTTGTACTGAGAAGATCCGGCGAGAAAGTCGGCAAGGTCTATTTTTTCTCCCTGTTTTGTTTCATACAGTGTCGTTGATTGAAGGATAACAACAAAAACCTGAAAACATGTGATGTCGACTGAGCTATGCAATGTTATGTAACTTATTGAGAATTATAGACGCATTGCGCTGGGTGATGCTTAAAATACATCTGATTTATCGTAATTCAATTACACAGGCCAACAAAAACAAGTACCCTGCGCGAGAGAACAGACTACCTGAACTTTATGTTTTCGGGGTCGCTGAGTCCAAATATGGTAGTGCCAGAATAGCGAAGTTGGTTCGCGTTTTTTCAGAAATCAGCAATAATGCTGAAAATTTAAGTTTTTCGTATAATATGGTTTATGATTTTTTGACTTATTCTCGACAAGTCCAGCGACAGCCAGGCGAACTATAGCTTCGAATTATTTTAAATAGGCATTAATTAAATAAGTGGGTATGCTCAATATTCAAACTGGCGTCTGTTTCCCTTCTTCTTTTTTTCTAATATATTATATTAATAAATATATTATGATATGAAGCATATTATAAGCATGTAAGCATTTTATAGTAGGATTAAAGATTATGAGATAGTTATAGTTATATAAGCATGTTTAATATGTGGAGGTTTTTAATTGGCTTTTAGATATTGTTTTTTGTTTATTTAATAAGTGATTGATAGCTGTAAACCTTCCTAAAATAAAATAAATAAATAAAAACTGTTAAAAAAACGCGAACCAGCTTCGCTATTCTGGCACCATATTTGTACTCAGCGACCCCGAAAACGTAAATTTCAGGTAGTCTGGTCTTTCGCGCAGGGTATTTTTTATTGTGGGCCTGTGTTATTTTTAGCATTTTATCTGTTTTGAACAGACGACGAAAAAAAAAGCCAGTATTACCGTCAACGTACACCAAGGTTAATCAAATTAACATCTTAAATATTACGATCAGGTTTCTGATAAGTTATTGCGCTAAGGCTCAAAATCGTAGACATACGGTTCACCTAGATTGTCCTAGACTGTAATTAGTGTAAGTAGAGGTTTGTACGTCACCTGAGCAGGTAGACGCGATATCGCCACGTGCAGTTGCGAAGAATGCGATAAAACTATACCTACGGCCAGCGATATTAAATCTTTCGAACGAGTCAGCACGGATTCTTGGCACCAAAGGTTGTTGTTTCATTAAGAATTTGCATATAATACAAGCAAAATTTAAGAAGATGCAAAGATTTGCTTGCTTTTATAGCTGACGAATTGCCTATTAATACAAGAGTTACAACGAATTATGCCTTATCACGTATTATAAGAGGCCAAACACCAAACGTCCATCAGGATGATAGTAATTTGAAACAATATTCCTACCTATATGAAATACCTAATTATGTTTTTAAAATTCATAGTGAACATAATTATTCACATAGAGATCATAAAATTACTGTCTGTCAAATCCAAAAAAATAATAATAATATATGTCGGTATATAAATGAGGTTTTAACATTAAAAACGTTATCAGCGCCATCTTTTGATAAGTTCCTAGACTATAGTTATACCTACTACCTAGATAACCAAGCTACTCTATGATTAGCCCTTCTTAATTTTCTTATAAATATTGTTTTTGTTACAGCGTTCCTTTTATGCGGGCGGCCAGTGGTGGTGGTAAACGTGCGGTGCAGTGGACTGTTGAGCAGTGAAGACTGCCGCCTGCTGAAGAGCGCTGCTGATGTTGCGGCCGCCGCGCCGATACCGCTGGCCGTGGTAGGAGAGCTGCAGGATCGAAACAACTTACACTGTGAGTATATGCCGCCTTTTATAAAGAACACTTTCTTTTATGCTGGCGGCCAGTGGTGGCAGTAACCGTCCGGTGTAGTGGACTGTTGAGCAGCGAAGACTGCCGCCTGCTGAAGAGCGCTGCTGATGTTGCGGCCGCTGCGCGGATACCGCTGGCCGTGGTAGGAGAGCTACAGGACCGAGACAACTTACACTGTGAGTATATGCCGCCTTTTATAAAGAACACTTTCTTTAATGCGGGCGGCCAGTGGTGGCAGTAACCGTGCGATGCAGTGGACTGTTGAGCAGTGTAGACTGCCGCCTACTGAAGAGCGCTGCTGATGTTGCGGCCGCCGCGCGGATACCGCTGGCCGTGGTAGGAGAGCTGCAGGACCGAGACCACTTACACTGTGAGTATATGCCGCCTTTTATAAAGAACACTTTATTTTATGCGGGCGGCCAATGGTGGTAGAAAACGTGCGGTGCAGTGGACTGTTGAGCAGTGAAGACTGCCGCCTACTGAAGAGCGCTGCTGATGTTGCGGCCGCCGCGCGGATACCGCTGGCCGTGGTAGGAGAGCTGCAGGACCGAGACCACTTACACGGTGAGTATATGCCGCTTTTATAAAGAAGACTTTCTTTTATGCGGGCGGCCAGTGGCGGCAGTAACCGTGCGGTGCAGTGGACTGTTGAGCAGTGAAGACTGCCGCCTACTGAAGAGCGCTGCTGGTGTTGCGGCCGCCATGCGGATACCGTTGGCCGTGGTAGGAGAGCTACAGGACAGAGACAACTTACACTGTGAGTGTATGCCGCTCTTATAAAGAATACTTACTTTTTGCGGGCGGCAAGTGGTGGCAGTAACCGTGCGGTGCAGTGGACTGTTGAGCAGTGAAGACTGCCGGCTGCTGAAGAGCGCTGCTGATGTTACGGTCTCACTAATGTGACCAGTTCTGAGAAAAACGGGTGAGGGGTCGAAAAATCTGAAAACTTGTGTTACGTACTTGGCCTAGGTAGGAGAGCTGCAGAACCGAGACAACTTACACTGTGAGTACATACCCCTTTTTACGCTTAGTAGACAACTGTCTTGTCTACGACCTCGACGTAGGCTCATCCTCCTCTTCCTTTAAACAATTGTTAAATATAAGGACTGGGTAGTGCACAAGTGAAACGAGTCGCTGCTAGTTACGCACTGCTTTATTTGACAGACACGACAGTGGTCGCAGCCATCTACATATGTATATACATACATAACACTCCTCCCTCTTAGATGACTATCTACTTTAAATAAACAATTATATAAAACAATTAACCATAACTGGGTTATACAAAAATATGCCTAATCACTCTCCGTTTCTTCAAACAAGCTTGTGTCTGTTTGAGGGGTAGTCTCAATCTCCTCATTCCTCCCCCCATTCTCTGTGTACTCCTGGCAGGCCGGCGGTGATTCACTCGGTAAGTACAACTCGGCTCTTCTATCTCGGCACAACGCTGGCATATGACCGGAATCTGGTGGTGACAGGGAATCTACTGACAGAGGTGTTAATGACTCCACGTTGACAAGTGAGTGCGCCTCGTCGTTGGAAGCAGGGTGAGATGGACTGAGTTGTACCGGCGGCGGTGTAGTTGTAGACGGTGGCGACGGTGGCGGTGAAGGCGGCGACAATAGCGGCGGCGGCGGCGTTGTACATAACTCAGGTATGTATGTATTGTCTTTTATCTCGCCTTTATATAACAATATTTGATTTTTGTGTCTCTTAATACATTCAGAGGTATTGCAATCCTGTACTAAATACAACATTTTCCCTACTCTTTTAATTATGATGCCTTTACACCATGTAAAATTGGATTTATTTGTGTATTTTTTATATAATACATTATCATGTTTTTTAAAGAAATCTTTTTTATTTAAAGTTATTTTATCAGATTGCGAACACTGTGAAATTTTCCCTAAGTTAGGTACTGCAGGTATCGAGGGTGACGATGGCTTGAGCGATATTAAATCTAGTCTTGAACGTAATTTATGACCAAATACTATTTGGGAAGGTGAATGAAGGCCTATGGTAGATGGATTGAATAACGATAATCCATTAGGTATCTTAATAATTTAATAGATGTGTCCCTAGCAGTATTACTCGACAGTAAAGAAGTCTTAATACCCTTCTTAACAATTTTTACAAAACTTTCTGCCTGCCCACTGTGAATGAGACTCCTCCGTGTATTGCGTCGCGACGTAGAAATTATGTCGTTCACCAAATCCGACAGTCTTCGGCGTAAAATGATTGTCCAGCAATTTAATTATATTATCTTGGTAAGGCACCTCATTGATGTCTTTGGGCAAAGCCAAATCCGATGCCAACTTATAGGTAGCCTCCGTGAGTGCGCTAAGAAGGATGGCCTTCCTCTTCGTGCCCGTCGCATCTGTGCTGTTGTTGATATCATTAGCAATAAAATATTGCATAATGCGTCCTTTATATGTCTCCCTTATTTGTAAATTATGGTCAAAACAACATAAAACACCAAACGACTGAGACATTTTTACTTTGGATGTGGGTAGGTATCGTCGCCAATGTTAAATATAAGGACTGGGTAGTGCACAAGTGAAACGAGTCGCTGCTAGTTACGCACTGCTTTATTTGACAGACACGACAGTGGTCGCAGCCATCTACATATGTATATACATACATAACAACAATAATACATCTAATTTTATAGTTTACTGCAATTTTTAGACGATTTGATAGACCAACAAAGACCACGATGGTCACCAAGTTCGAAAAAACTTACAAAATCAAATTTACTAACTAGAATCGTATCTAAAGACCTCATTCATCTTCAGGCTATTAATGTTCCCACGCTGGGAACGCGGGCCTAGTACTAGTACGCATCGTTCTGTGCTACCGTCTTCAGATGCAGCTGGAACCAACGGCTTAACGTGTCTGCCGAAGCAAGGAGAAGCTCGAGATAGTAGATTTTTCGTTACCCATTTAAGGACCGATACCACTGCGACAGTTGCATAACATCAACGACCGAAGCCGAATGCACTAACTACTTGCCCATCGAGCTTCTCATCAACGCCACATTATGTCTAGATACGCCACATTATGTCTAGATAACTTGGGTACGTCAGTTAGCTTTAGATAGCTACAATTCAAGAATTAGTACCTATTTAACGATTAACTGATAACTCGATGCAAGGTGACAATCAGAAGCACCTTATCACATTACGTCGTCTACGTACGTTTGCTTTCTCTTTATTTACGTCAAAACGTCTGCGTTCCTAACGTCAGCTCGCACTGAGAGGTTGCAATCTATTTAAGTTTGATTAAAGTTGAATATGTTGATGCTGTGACTTTCTTCGTGACGAACTGAAACTCAAAATAATTTATTCAGTTTTGGTGGTTAAAGCACTCGTGAATGTCTGGAAGCTACGCCATCTATGTATGACCTTGTACTGAGAAGAACCGACAGAAAACTCAGCACCCTTTCTGAGTTTCCTAAAAATCGAGAGAACCCGGGTTTTTTCGGACCCGGGCTCGATTCCCTAATTGCAAGTAGAAAGACTTTCTTTTAACAAACTATAAATCCCAAAAATTACTCTTTAAAATGACAAACTTAACAGATGTTTAGGCACTTTTGTCAACGTCCCCATGCGAGAAACTAAGAAACAACATTTATAGTGTTTTTTATTGTTTCAGCTTTAGAAACTTACCAGTCACTGCTTAACGAAGAGATATCAACCACAGTCGATCAGAACTACAAAGGTTTGACGTGCATTTTATGCCCGGGGACCATAGACAAAAGCAACTTTAATGGCCGCGCGGGCGCCGTCAGGTCCGGACTCAGTCACCTCGCGATCCCACGCGGGTGGTCCTGGGGCGGCCCTGCCTCCCCTTACTGCCCAGTATGGGCCGAACTAAATATCCCCGATTGACGAAAACAAAATTCTTCCACGAATAGAGCCTCCGTCTATGGTCCTTCGATTTTCGCACTGGCAATACAGTGCTGTTTGCGCATCAGTGTTGCCGCAATCTAAATACAAATGATTGCCATTCGAAAATTTTCTATTGCTTACTGATCTAATTTGATGGAACGATTATATAGAAAGACAATGCCAAAGCATTATGATTCGGTTATAAATTATGTCATATCTGTTTACTCGTAATGAAAGAGTTTAAATTATCTTTTTAAAGTTATCATTAGTCTTTAAAGGTTCTCTAACGTTGTATATATTATTGTTAAATATATTTTTTCTACCATGGTATGTTATTAAATTTTCAAATTGTAAATGTTTATGTTTAATTCAATGCAAAATATCAAGAGATTAATTAACTTCATGTGAATTACGGCTGTTATTATTAAGTATACTTATTGAATTCTTCTTCTTAGAGCATTTAACTTGTTTTTTGAAGTATAATAATTGTATTAGTTTTTACGATTTCATACTTGCAACGTGAAAAGTTCTTCCATAAGATTTTTTTGCATTAATGAAATGAACTATATTATTTTGATTTGCCGAACACCCCAAAAGTCAATAATATTTTTTTATCTAACTTTCCCATTTAATAAAATTGTAAATGATTTGGTATAAAAATTAAATGTGACTCACTTCACTGAGTACCCGTATATTGGTTGAACAATTTAAATCTAAATTAAATTTTGCATTGAAACTCTTTCGTCCTCAAAACTGTATTATATAATAATTGCAAGGATTTTTTTTTAATTATAAGATTAATATATTTTTTAAGATTTTATGATGGCGCTGACCAAATAATGCCTTTGATTTTAAAAATAGATAAAAACGCATTTGCGCTCTCATCATCTTGTACGTTTATATTTTTGAAATCTACAGTATTTATCACATAAACTATTTAAAAGAATATGATAATATCATTTTTATTTACATATCATATAGGATTTTCTAATTCACTTAGGCTATTAATCTTTATAATGTTACTAGTCCTTCCAAGTCGCTAATCCATTGTCATGATTATGTTATACCTACCATATGCCGTAAAACTGTTTGAAATCTTCCATTCCTTATTAATCACTTTAAATTGTTATCTTTAAATACTGAAGTTAATAAAATTCCGAAACTTCACTATTAATAACAATGCTTGCCTTAAACGGTGTTATTCCAAAACGTGGACTAAAGTTAGTCTTGATTTGAAACTAATGTTGTCTCTGTCTTCCTTTTAGCAAGCAAAAGTGACAGCATTTCTTTTATTTTATTTATTTATTTGAATGGGAAAACTTACACCTATTCATAAAAAATTGGTTTAAAAAAATTAACAAGTAAAAGCCATTAACAAGTTTTCACCTATAAATTTAAGGCCCGTATTATAAAAAGAGTCTTGAGCATAGATAGAAAGGGATGTCGCTATATATAGCATATAGCGACATCCCTTTCTAACTGTACTCCAGTTAAGATCAACACTTAGTTGTCATTCTGTAATACGGACCTAAGTCCAGGTTTAACTTAAGTCTACGTTAATGGGGCAAAAAATAATATTCAAAAACTAATCAAAGTATTGGGTAATAGTAATTATAGACACATTGAACTGCTATGTTCATATACACCGTGGGTTTTGATTTACCTGAGTAATTTAAAAATTGTTAAAATAAAAATAGTGAGAACAACTATGAATAGTAAACGTACTTCACCCCTATACAAAAATATTGATTTATATCGTTTACAAAATGTCCTATAAACGGCGCAAATTTTAAAAAAAACATACCTATATGAAACTGGCTGTTACTCGCGGTTTATTGGGGATATTTTCCCGTAGTAAAACGTAGTCTGTGTTAATCCAGGGTGTCAGCTAACTCCTTACCAAATTTTATTAAAATCGCTCCAGCCGTTTAGACGTGAAGAAGTAACAAACACACACTCACAAACTTTCGCCTTTATAATATTAGTGTCATTATCGTCCGTTTAAAGTAAGTAGATCCAAATATACTTTCATTTAAATTCATTTATGATAATTAAAATTGTTAAGGTTTCAAAATTGCACGATTATCGAGTTAACATAGAGACTGCAAAAAAAATATTTTAAACGCGGAAATATAACCTAAATCGTTGTTTGAATTCGCTAGTTTATTTGTTAAAGAGTTAATTTTCTCAGGTAACTCGAAATTCTCAGTGTTTATTATCACTATAGCAAATTATCACTTTTTTATATAATATGATATTTTTTTGAATTGACGTTACGATTTTAGTTGAGATTAAGATTTATAGAGCTGAGGATTCCATACAATATAGTGGTTAAATTTTTGTTCTACGACAAATATTGACAAAGTTGTGATCAAATTACTAAACGAATTTACGAATTGGCCGCGTGGTGGCTGTGACGTCACAGTGCTTTACCACTCGGGCGCGAGCGTGCGTAGAGACGCTACAGAAGTTCGACCAGAGTGAACCACGATAGAGCTCTGTGACGTCATAAGTTTCGGCCGCCGCCCGGTGAAAATGGGCTACCATAAAATTAGTTATAAAATCGCAACGAATGAACCGATTTCGATGATTTAAAAAGTATATTAATTAAAAAAGCTTATTTGATCATTATGCTGTTGATTTTGAGTTGATTTGCTGACCTAGTAAAGATCCTCATTAATCAGAAAAAACGGCATGGCAACACTAACACGTGGTTCATTATGTAATAATAAAACTAATATCTTTTTTTTTTTAACTTTTTAGACTGGTGTAATAAAATGTAATTGTATATAAAAACTATTTTAATGAAATGTAACATTGAACATTTATAAACAACGTCATCGTAACTACTACCTCTGATGCGAAAATATTCATATTATTTTATTAAAGCGAATGCTTTTATATATTCGTAATAATTATCTATTTGAAACTAAGATCTAAAGAGCATGAAATTCTAACATGTAGTTTGGAATATTAGACTTTATGGACATTGATATAAGCAATATTTTACTTACTACAGCAACACTTTAGTGTAGCTACCTCTAAATTATAATAGTCGGAATAAAATCATGAATTTATTGCATGTAGAAGTTTCATTCTTTAATATAATCGGTGCCTTTCGTATTATGGGCGCCTACGACAAGTACTTTGGTTAGCGCTTGACTTATTTCATGTATAATACAGTACCCCTAGCCCTAATCAATGTCGAATTCGAATAGTTTGCGAGTGCGAAATGTTATTGTCGATTTGTCTATGGAAACTAGAACAGCAGCGCCACAAAGGACGTAACGAGAAGTAAAAATCAGTACGAGTATGTATTTGATAATGACATTTCGGACTCGCAAACGTTACGAATTCGATAATGGTTCGTGCTAAGGGTACTGTTTAGGGAATAGTTAGGAATATTGCACTATTGTGATCCAATTACTAGGAAATTTTGTAAATATATATAAAAAAAGAGATGTTTACTTAAATATTTTTTTATATGACGAAAGTCATGATCTCGTTTCGTGTATACAGGTGGCAGACGCAGCAGTATTGGTCCGTATACAACTGAAACAGTATTGTTCCTCAATGGTTTGCTTATACGCGTGTATTATTTTCTTTAACTAACTAATATTTTATTTATAAAGCAGCAGGCTGCTGCAGCATCTAGAGATGTCTCGTTGTAGCCATCTGAATTTGAGCTTTTAAAGACCTTTCATGTCATAAAGGTAGGAAGAGTAGATTGGGGAAGGCGGCTCTAAAAGTGTCCGTCTAGTAGAAAGAGAAAGAAGATGAGAGACCGCTAGCTATCTCTCTTTCTTGTGACGCATGGCATCCAATGGCATCATCGAAATAGTAAGATGCTTACGGTTGCCAATGCGCATGCGCGATTAAAGAGAGAAAAAACTAGCGGTCTCTCATCTTCTTTCTCTTTCTATTAGAGGGACACTTCCACTTGTAGTAGAGTCTATATCTCCCTTACTCTATTCTTATACCTCTGTTTCATGTATTAAACGCATTGGCGAATTTCTAAAGCAACGACCCTAGACAAAGAAGCCTGCGCAATAGCAATTTTACGTACAAAAAATCATCTACTGCGCAAGATGATTTGTCTGTGGTTTTGCTCACGAAGTTTGCCGCAACCTATATACAAAACACAATCCTAACATCGTGAAATTATTGAACACATTATAACGTATGGATGTCTTTAAAAGTAACCAGTACACGAGCTTACCAAAACTCCTTTTAAAGAGAAGTACCTTCCAAAAAGATTAATTTAACTACATTGATATCTTATTTCTAAACATATAGGTATCGAAAATACATATTACTCACTGACAATATACATTATATTACCCGTTTTATTGTGATAATTTTTATTGTGTATTTTTTTCAATTGTTGCTATTATTGTCTTGGTGTAAGATACTGGTGAATTAAATTATTGAAATAATCTGTGTTTTTTTTATCATCATCATTAGCCTATTAATGTCCTTCCTTATGGATGGTATAGGGAGATTGGGCCATGACCCACCACGCGGGCGCAGTGCAGATTGGCGGGTGATAACGACTGAAGATGCAGCCGGGACCAACGGCTTAACGTGCCTTCCGAAGCACGGAGGAACTCGAGATAAAAGATTTTGGTCACCCATCCAATGACCGACCACTGCGAAAGTTGCTTAACTTCAAAAATCGCAGCCGAACGCGCTATCTCGCGCTCCTGTGTTTTTTATTGATGAATATTTCTCTCTTTTCAGTCGGAAATGACGAATGAACAGTTACCTACTATTATTCGATAATGAATTGATCAGAATTTTTACTATTTGCGAAATCTTATGTCCATGATTGCATAATTTAATTCTATGTGAATTCCAAAGGCGTGTCAATACCAGCAAATTCATGATTTTTACACGACATTAGAAAAATTACGATAAAAAGCAAAAAGGAGCTGTGTTGAATTGACACATGAATGACACTTTCTTAGCAAAAAGATCACATTCCAAAAGATTCGACCAAA